GGAGGGCGGCAGGTGTGGATGGCCCGGGTGGGCCCGATGACGCATGGTGTGTGCGACATGCGAGGGAGGGGGTGGGGGAAAGCCTGCTGCCTGCGTTGGACGGATCTCTCCCCGTTCCTCCGCGGCTTTGGTAGTTCCGCTGCCTTGCCTCCCCACGAGTTCCTCCACGCTCATACCCGATCCCAGAGACAGAGCCTTCTTCGCCAGGGTCGGCACCAGGCTTCGGCGCTGAGGCGGCTGCCGTTGTTGTTGCTGGGCGCGGGTGGCTGCTTGCTGCCCCGTTTCTTGAGCGTTCGCCAAGACTTGGATCGAGACGTGCCGGAACCGCTCCTGCGCTTTCGACATGGCAGCGAACGTGATGGACGGCGGACGGGCAGAGGGAGCTCGCCTGTCGCCCCTTGGAGAGGGTCTTGAAAGCCGTTCCATGCCCGATGTCGCCGCCAGCCTCGCGTCCTCCCCGCCCGCCCGCCGAGACAAGGGGCTTGCCGTGGGGATGGCCTTGACGGACGGGTGGGCTGTAGGTAGACCTGCGGCCTTCCCACCCGGGAGAATGTTCTCGAACGAACCAGGGGAGGCCAGTGCGTCCACCGCGTTCCCTGGACTCATCCCGGGCACGGCCAGGCCCCTCATGGGCTCCGATGTCTCCCGCTTTAGCAGCGCTGGGTGCAGCACCTCCCCCACCTCCGGTCTCCCCGCCAGGGTCAGGGAGGACGCGTTCCCAGGCAGGGACAACAGGGAGGAATGGAGGGCCCTCTCGGCGGCGTCGGCGTCGCAGGAGGAGAGGGAGGACGCGGCACCAAGGGGAGGCGGACAAGGGGGCCGCGGGTCTTCCTCCGAGAAGAGGGCGTGCAGGTCCGCCCAGTCCATGTCCAGCTCCTCCAAGGCCTCCGTCATTCCCGCCACGGGTTCCGTCACGCGTCGATTAGACACGGAGGGGGGCTGGGCGATCCGGGTATCCAACACGGAGGTCGGAGGGGCCAGCAACCGGTAGTGCTGGCGGCGGTAAGGGACGGGTGGGGGGGGTCGATCGAGGGGGAGGGAAGGAGCCGACGCCGGGGGGGCCTCCGTGTCGGGGAAGGACGGGAAGGCTGCCTGGAGCATGCTTTGTTCCAACCGAATCGCCTCGTCCTGCACCCTCTGGTCATGCGACATCATCTCCGCCACCGTGAAGGTGGGTGCGGGGCCTCCTGCTGTCCCCTTCTTGCCCCCTCCCGGGTTCGCCCCCCTCCCCTTCCCGG